CAGTCTTACTTATTATTAATAACTACCACAGTAGTGACTAATGAATGCCCTCTTAATACATTTGAGTGTACAGTAATTTTTATGCTTCTAGAGTTTCCCATCATCAAATACATATTTTATCTTGTGGTTATAATGTATTATAAACAACACTGTTAGTAAAACAATATATTACAAAGCTGTGATGTATGAAGTTGTATGACCCTATGTGAATTTAGAGCTTAGTTTTGCTATAGTATCATTAGTGAAACACAAAATTAATCTGCTTTATAAATTGAATATTGTATTATTCATAGTTTTTATTAGTGTCATGGTTCATATAAATGTGTTCAATTCACAGACTATTTTGCTGTAATTTCTGACCACCTTTGCAACTGTTGGCAACAACATTGGTCTGATAATATACGTAACAAATTAAATTCTATCAAACCAAGTTTAGGTTTCTGGCCATCTTCTTGTCATCAGTGCTGAGGTTGGGAGACTACACTCTCCCATCTTCGCATCAGGCACACTTGTCTTACTGGTATCTCATGGAGAGGCACCCTGTTCCACTGTGAGACTTGTCAGGTTCCAGTTTCAGTTCGTCATATTCTGTTGGACTGTCCAGTCTATCATCAATCACACAGAATTTACCTCCGATTTCATCACCACTCTAATGCCCTTACTTTATCTTCCCTCCTTGCTGACAGACCCACCTTTGACAGATACATACCCTCATTGACTTTTTAACGACAACTGATTTATTACACAAATCTTTGATCCTTCCTCTAGTACTCCTCACAGCCATTTCTAACTTTTCCTCTGTTGTCCACTCCACCCTTGCTACTTTATAAAACTGCCTACTGCACTGTTTGACCCTTGTAGGTTTAGCTCTTCTTTTTGATAATATTAGTGTGGCATGCAAAGAGTACGTAACCTTTATTCGGCGCATGTACACACCCTCATTGAAAGGCTATCTTCCCAACCAGCGAACCAGTACCCAGGTTCAGCCAATGAGAAGATGGTTCTGGCAATCGCAGTGGTGTTGTGGGCACCACCCGCCGGTATGCCCTTGTCATTTCCATACTAGAGCAGGTTGAGCACAGTTGTCCATTCTGTCTCCAGGCTGTGTCTTGGCCTTGCCTAAACCGTGTTGTACACATACATTTTCCAGCTGTATATAGTGTACATAATTGTAAATATTCACATTTCTCTTGGTGAAGGAAAATATATTTTAAAGTCATTCAGCTGTGTTTGTTCTACTCCTCGCTCCCCTTTACACCCAGGATAACAGGCCTTATTGTCCCTTATTGTCAGGCTTGAGGTGGCCGGAACAGCATTGGGCGTCTTTGATGCATACAGCTTTTCTTGGTAAGGCCCAGGAATTTACATCAGTGTTAAATGACACTGGTTTTTCCCATTACAGAGTGGTGAAGACCACAGTTCTTGGAGCATACCAGTGCATTCCGGCCAAGTATAGGAAGTCATTCAAGTTAGGCAGACGACAGCTTGGTCAATCTCTGGTTGACTTTGTAAGACAGCTTTTACCAGCTGGTATAAAGCAAGTGGTGTCACCACCTTTGATGATCTCGTGCAGCTCATCCTAGTCGATAACCGGCTGGAGTGAGGTATAAGGCACAATATAATCATAGTAATATTAGAAGTAGCAGTAGTTGTCATACTTGTGGTAGTAATAGTAATAGTTTCAGCATCGATGTGATGGCATGGTTTATTCCAGTGTTCTATGCAGGTGTACAACATTGGAATTCTGCCAATCTAATTGTGAAATTCAACGACGCCCAACTAGTGATTAAAGAACCTAATTTCCTAAGACATGAATGCCTTGAATCATCATTAATCACTATTACTAACACAGAATAAAGGCAGCTTCATCATCTCTGCAGTACTAGCAAGAATCCTTAAAACAAACTCTGTCATCATATAGTTGCTGATAATACTACTACTACTACTACTACAAGTATTACAACTACTACTTTTAATATTACTACAATGATTATATTATGCCTAACACATCACTCTAAGCCTGTATATACCCTCTGTGTCCATGTATTGTTTGTAACAGCTTGACAGAGCTCCTGGAGAGCAAAACGTTGCCACAATGAAATGTCACATTAATCACACTTGTATTCTTTTACTTAACATATTGTTGATAATTCTACCAACTTTAATACAAAAGTTAAATGTTGAATGATGATGAAAGCTTTTTTTTCTTTATTTTTGCATTTTTCTTCCTTTTTGGGTCACCCTGCCTCAGTGGGAAACAGCAGTGTTAAAAAAAATCTAAAAAAATAATTATAGCAATAAAAAATTATTATTATAGCTATCAAAAATATGTATAAAAATGTGTACATCTCCTATAGAATAAATTTGAGCATAACTTACTATTATTATTATTAAATTCAGAAGAAAGCACTAAATCTGAATAGTTGGTAGAGCAGATAATTATCTTAAGATATTTGTTTATTAAAACAATATCTTGACGTCTTGCCCAAGCAGTATGTACATAAAACAAAGAGTTTAAACAACACCTGTTTATTCTTTTATCACTCACAAATGTTTAATAAAGAATTATCGAAACACAAAATCTTCATATTCAGAAAATATCTGAAAGCATTACAAAAAATAATAGAGAAATATAATGGCTTAAGCGAAAAGTAGAGAGAGAATGTTAGGTTATCCCGAGCAGCCGCGACATCCACAGTGAACACATTCCACGATCTTACCCTGCAAAGACAACAAAAAATTTGTGTATACAATTATACATGTACTTGATAACATAAATAATTTGTCAAATCAGGAAACATTACCAACTGGGCCAGCTGATACAGTTAACACTGGCCTTTGAGTTATAGCACCCTTTTGCCATGGGTTCAAGTCCTGCCTGTTTTATGATTTGTTTGCAATTGTCTTATGATTTTGTGTTAAATTATATATCACATGAAAAAAAATTAAACAAAAATTACAGGCAACAGTAAAAGTAGGATTTATAAATGTGTAATGTCACCATAGTTGTGTAACATGTTTATAATGGATGGCATCATAAAAATTACTTAATGTTAGGGTGCTAGTGGGAGTCATCGCAATTGTTTTGCAAGATTCTAAAGATAAGTTGCAAAGGTTGCTGGGATATTGGGAGAAAATAAAAAGTGAACACAGGAAAGAGCAAGGTGATGAAGGTAACAAAAAGCTGAATCAATGACAGATTGAATATTAGATTGGAGGAAGACAGGTTGGCAGACGAGTATATGAAAGACAAGGAGAACCAAAGAACTGATAAGGGAAAGATGGTGAGTGGCGCACTGAAGCATCTGTGGAGTTGAAGCATCTCAAGTATGGAGGCAAAAAAGGGAATGTACCTGACTATAATGGTATAAACACTTACATGAGTGTGATGCATGGGTTTTAAATGTTGCAGCAGTGAGAAGGATGGAGGCAGTGGGGCTGTGTGTGAGAGCAATGTGCAGTGTGAATATTACGAAGAGAATTTGGAGCTTAAAGATTACAAGGTGTGGGTTTATGAAAAGTATTATTCAAAGGCCTGGGGAAGGGTTGTTGAGGTGGTCTGGGCATCTGGAGTGGATGGTGTAAAATAGAATAGGATAAATCTGTGGTGGAGAGGGTGTGTAGGGGTCATCACAGAAAAGATTGGAGGGATGGGGTCAATAAGGTTCTGCATGCTTGGACATCCAACAACTGCATGTGAGCATGTTAAATAGGAGTGAGTAGAGGCAAGTGGTTTTTATGATTTAATGTGCAGTTGGAATGTTAGCAAGGTAACATTTATGAAGAGATTCAGGGGCAACCAGTTAGCCAGACTTGAATCCTGCACTCTGAAGGATGGTGGAGATGCTGTAGTTCAGCAGGCCATCTAATGTCAGTTTGCTTCTGGCAAGACCGTGATTGAATGAATGATGATGGAAGCAATTACACTTTTGGGGAAACCAAAAAATTTTCCCTCAGTGTGTCTTGTAATGGGAGAACCATTGATCAATATGTTAAGTTGGATATTTAAAGCTTTGTTTCCAAACAGCATGAAGTAGCTTTTGTCTATACTGAGAGTGAGTTTGTTGGTCATCAGCCATGTAGATATTTTTTGTAGCTCGTTGTTAACAGGGTCACTAAGCATAGTCAGGTTTGAGTGAGAGAAGACATAAGTACAGTAGTGTCATCTGCAAATAGAATTGGTATATGGTATATGGCAGAGCTGTTAACTTGTGAATAAACATTTAGCTTGCCTGAAATGCTTTGCATTACCAAGGGCTTTTAAAATATATGAACAATGTAATATGTACCTTCATCAGTACGGTATTTTTTTGACACATTAACCATACGTACTATGCAAGATATTGCTGTGTAGGAAGATACATTCACTGAAATATACTACTGGAACACAGTTGTACTATACTGTAATACAGTACATATTATTATATTGGAATACAGTTATTTTATATTCAAATTCAAAATTTATTCCTACATGATATAGCATTGTTTGTGCAGAAATGGTTGACACTTAATAATACATGTAGAAAGCCCATGGTTATACAGAGCATTTTGGGCAAGTTTAAGCCTAACTTAAGACTATAAGGGTAACAAACATTATATATACAGCCTCTGCTGACTTAACGACGGAGTTCTGTTCCTGAGACCACGTCGGTTAATGAATTCGTCGCTAAATAAGGAGCATACTATAATGGTAGTGGGTTTGTGTCAACCATCTTTGATATTGTTTTAATGTCACCTTTGCACCATTTATAACATTTCTGGTACTTTTTAAATGTTTACACAGTAGTGTACTGTATATTGTAATAAACAGAATAGAGGAAATCAGCTCTAATATACATTATTTAGGTATGCATACTGGTCAGAGTGCCCGTCGTAAGTCCGAGTCGTCAGTAAATGAGCACGTCATTAAGTGAGGAGAGGCTGTATATGCATATAAGGATATTAATCACAAAAAAAATAATTTCCACAGTACTGCGTAAAACTAAATATTAACATCATATGTGCAAGGAGCTAAACTAGGTTAAATTAGATAATGTTAATGTCTCACCCCGGCTGATAGCTTTCCTGCGGTAGAAAAGATCATAGATGTAGCGGGAACGTTGGTGATGGATGCGGAAGATTGGCCACAACGACTCCACTTTACGCTTACCCTCATGTGATTCAGTTTCCGCTGGAGGTAAACAACATGTAATTAATAAAAGTAATAATAATAACAAATAACAATAATAATAATTATTATTATTGTTAATAATAATTACATTACAATAAATTAATAATAATAATATTAATATTTATAATCCAAGCAAGGGGAGGACATTGCCAATTCCTTGGGTAAACACCTATTACTCATTTATTAAAGCTCTAAACCCACAGGGGAGAGTCTCACAGCCTCTACGGGACACTATCCTCCACTCCATGGAGGCAAAGACCAGCTCCACCTCCTTGGATGAAGAGCTCTTGGGGGCTGGGTGGGAGGAGGGGTGCAAAGACCAGCTCCAACTCCTTGGATGAAGAGCTCTGGAGGAGGGGTGCAAAGACCAGCTCCACCTCCTTGGATAAAGAGCTCTGGAGGAGGGTTGCAAAGACCAGCTCCACCTCCTTGGATAAAGAGCTCTGGAGGAGGAGGGGTGCAAAGACCAGCTCCACCTCCTTGGATGAAGAGCTCTGGAGGAGGAGGGGTGCAAAGACCAGCTCCAACTCTTTGGATAAAGAGCTCTGGAGGAGGGTTGCAAAGACCAGCTCCACCCCCTTGGATTAAAAGCTCTCGGGAAGAGGGGGGGGAAGTGGAGCCTCACCCTCACGCATTTTCTGGTCGAGCTCCTCTAGGGTGGGCTCTATCAGCTCCCAGCCCTCTGGCGGAGGCTTCCTGCTGCGTCGAACCTTAGGCATCACTACCACACCTCACTTGGTAAGCTCTGTACAACTTGTTGAGCTCCTTGGAGCTCTAAATGCGCTGTCTTATGGGTTTAAATAAGCTGTGTTATGGGTTTAAATGCGCACTCTTGTTTGTTGTTGTTTGTTGGGGTTATAAGGACCAGTGACAGCTTACACTGTGTTGCCACCACTACCTTGCTTGTAAGTCACTCAGTCAGTCAGTAAGTAAGTCAGTCAGTAAGTTAGTGTAAGTCACTCAGTACGTCACTCAGTAAGTCAATCAGTAAGTTAGTGTAAGTCACTCAGTACGTCACTAAGTAAGTCAGTCAGTAAGTTAGTGTAAGTCACTCAGTACGTCACTCAGTAAGTCAGTCAGTAAGTAAGTCAGTCAGTAAGTCAGTCAGTAAGTTAGTGTAAGTCACTCAGTACGTCACTCAGTAAGTCAGTCAGTAAGTAAGTCAGTCAGTAAGTCAGTCAGTAAGTCAGTCAGTAAGTTAGTGTAAGTCATCAGTACGTCACTCAGTAAGTCAGTCAGTAGTCAGTCAGTAAGTCAGTCAGTAAGTCAGTCGGTAAGTCAGTCAGTCAGTAAATCAGTAAGTCAGTCAGTAAGCCAGTCAGTCAGTCAGTAAGCAAGTAAGCAAGCAAGCAAGTCAGTCAGTAAAGTAAGCAAGTATATTCAGTTATACACAAACAGTTATATATATCATCATACATAGCAACATATGTGTAGACAACCTGGCATAACACAAAAAAGTCAAAGTGATTTATTTCCATTGGGGTCCTTTTAATACCTTATTATTATACTATAAAGGAGATAGTATGTTATTATACTATAAAGGTGATATTTATATTTACATGTGTGTTATATTAACCCAGTTAGGATATATCTTTCAGCAACACGATCTCTAATGCTTGAAATATCAAGTTCTTTCTGCATATTTAAAATTTTGCAGTACGAGGGCATCTTAAAATGATCCTTTTTGCTTCGTTCTACAGTTTTTCCAGCCGTCCATCAAGCTTCCAGTCAGACACAAGAGCAAGTAGTGGCGCAGCATAATCAACCAATGATCTAATATAAGCGAGACACCATTATTTTCACAATTTTAACATTGGCTCCATACCTGGGATGGGAAACCTGCCACAACTCTAAGTGCTCTCAGCCTTTCTTTGCATTGTGACAAAGTCTCGTTATAACAGGTCCAAGTAGTGGAACCTCAAAGCCTAGTTTAAGTTTAATATCTTAATTATACACACTATACCCATCCTGTGGGTGGTAGTCAGAAGATTACAGAGGTACATAATGGGTCCAGGGACTGTATACCAACATTACAGAGGTACATAATGGGACCATGGACTGTACACCAAACATTACAGAGGTACGTAATGGGTCCAGGGACTGTACACCAACATTACAGAGGTACGTAATGGGTCCAGGGACTGTACACCAACATTACAGAGGTACATAATGGGTCCAGGGACTGGACCCCAAAGTTGATAGCTGAACAAGGTACAAAGGTAATGAACTCCAGGTAGATCTTTGCCATGATCGTCAAAGCCTAAATACCTGTATCTGGTTACATATTCTAGAAGAGACCCATCATGTTATTGGATCTGGTGAACTGTGCTTCTGTCGAGGTGGACGCCTGTTGAGTATCTTTGATTTATTAGTAGAGGTTATCAACCCCAGGTCCTGGCAGAACTGTTTGTAATACTCCTTGTACTCAAGTGAGCCCATGTATCTATGACTGACATTTTAAGAAAAGCAGGGGTGCCACTAGCACGTTAAGAAACAACACAGTAAGTGTTTAGGGGCCCAAGACTGTTCAACTGCCTCCCAGTATACATAAAGGGACTACCAATAGACCCCTGGCTGTCTTCAAGACCCCTGGCTGTCTTCAAGACCCTGACTGTCTTCAAGACCCCTGGCTGTCTTCAAGACCCCTTGCTGTCTTCAAGCAGGCACTGGACAAGCACCTAAAGGCAGTACCTGACTAGCCGGGCTGTGGTTCGTACGTTGGAGTGCATGTGGCCAGCAGTAACAGCCTGGTTGATCAGGCCTTGATCCACCATGGGGCCTGGTCACAGACCGGGCCGCGGGGGCGTTGAAACCCGAAACTCTCTCCAGGTAATTGTAACTGATTCTCTATCATCCATAAATGATCTCAACTCATTAAGTATATGTGGAAACTCATTCCACGGAACTTTTATAGTGTAAGCATAAGCAGCCCTTAATATAACCGCTTACATAAACACTTATATATAATGACTCAAGAATCGTAATGACACGATTGCAAATAAACCATACCCCCGGCCGGGATTGAACCCGGGATTGAGACTCTATGACCGCGGGTTCAATCCCGGCCGGGGGTATGACTTATATATAATATTTGACATTTTACATTTTTAAGTAAGTTAAGTAGAGTATGCAATAACCTTAGGAGAAAATAACATTGTGGAAAATACTGTATATTTTCCGGAAATACGGTAATTTATAGGTAAATAGATGCCCTATATTGTATTTTTGAAAGAAATATATTATCGAAAATCGGAAGAGCCTGCGCCCTGCGCAGAAGAGACTCGCCATTTGTTGTTTTGAATCAACACAAACGTTAGTTAATAATGGGAAGAGTTTTTCGTGCTCTAGAAGTAAAATTGGGCTGACACCTCTCAAATAGGAGGCGAAATTGTTGGACATGCATTCCTGCATAACTTGAGATATCAGGCGACTGGTAAGGCAGCTCCAGGAACCTCAGATAAGTCTGTGATGTTTTAACTCTGGCCAGTTATTATTTGCATGTATAGACTGAGGTTTTCTGAGTATGATACACCTTGATCTCCAGTCAAATTGGTGAGTGAGTTTAAGATATTCTTCTGTTATGTATATGTGTATATATATAATATTTTTTTAATTTTAATATGCAGTCCATAAATTTATATATTTACCAGAATTCCTGGTGATACATATTTCATTTGTAATTAATAGGTCTAGAGCAACTTGTGGTTATGACAGTGGTAGGTATCGAAGGGGGACATTTTTGCGACCTAGGTGTCCCAAATTCCTACTTGTCTATGTAACTGATAAATAATAATTATCTTTGTTATCATTTACTGTTATCTACATAATGAGTTACATTCAGATAAATGCAATTTTCCACAAACATCGTTATAGGACCTAGAACAGAAATAGGTCTAATACAGTAGTAGAGATAGTAGCCAGTGTTTCGAGAATTCAATCTGTGATCAATATTATTATTATAGTCATGGGGAGAGCTAAACCCGTAGGATTATACAGCGCATGTGGGGGGAATGGAAGGTATTAAGACAATTCAGGGAACTGGAGCACAGATCCAATCCCCTAGATCAAGAGCCCCTCACCAGCATCAAGGAACCTCCCTTGAGGGGCTGAGATCAAGAGAGACGCTGGTTAATCAGAATACACAGGTCAAGTTCAGATGTGTGATAGAAGCCAGGACACCGGCAATTCTTACCAAGGAAGATGAACTTTTTGCCAACGAAGCTTCCTCAAACCCCAAGGATAACTGTTAATATCCTTTCAAGTCCCAGCGGACCGGGTTTACGTTTTACTCAGCATTACTGGCCAGTTTTACTGTTAAAACGTGGACGTCCTGCCGGGTGATTAATGGCGGAAGGTAACATCGTAGCTCGTCAATTTCTGAGGTATCGAGTAAGGAAGTGAAGCTCTCCCTCTATTTCAAGTAAGTAGAATTGCAGGACTTATCGCCAGAGAAGACAACACTCAATACTGAAGAATCCTGGAATCATCACTTATCTGTATATCCAGCAACTTCAACCAGAACAACGGCTTCTATAACATAGCTGAACCTCTTGCCAAGGAACTTATCCCACATAAGAACATAAGAATGGAGGAAAACTGCAGAAGATCCACTCATATACTTATCCAATCTCTTTTAAGAGCTACCCAAGTTTTTAGACTTCTTCACTCTACTCCTAACGCAGCATTCCCATCCTATATATAGCCATGTATGTTTCACCCAGGTAGATCTGTTTGTGACTTGATAAAGCCCACTGCGTGGGCGAAACGTTGTCAATAAAGAATCACATTATACTGCTTAAGTGTTTATATTTCCATTGTGTCGGTATTTTATACCATTTATTTCCATCGTGTACTATTACCTGGAGTTTACCTGGAGAGAGTTTCGGGGGTCAACGCCCCCGCGGCCCGGTCTGTGACCAGGCCTCCTGGTGGATCAGCGCCTGATCAACCAGGCTGTTGCTGCTGGCTGCACGCAAACCAACGTACGAGCCACAGCCGGCTGATCAGGAACTGTCTTTAGGTGCTTGTCCAGTGCCAGCTTGAAGACTGCCAGGGGTCTGTTGGTAATCCCCCTTATGTGTGCTGGGAGGGAGTTGAACAGTCTCGGGCCCCTGACACTTATTGTATGGTCTCTTAACGTGCTAGTGACACCCCTGCTTTTCATTGGGGGGATGGTGCATCGTCTGCCAAGTCTTTTGCTTTCGTAGTGAGTGATTTTCGTGTGCAAGTTTGGTACTAGTCCCTCTAGGATTTTCCAGGTGTATATAATCATGTATCTCTCCCTCCTGCGTTCCAGGGAATACAGGTTTAGAAACCTCAAGCGCTCCCAGTAATTGAGGTGTTTTATCTCCGTTATGCGCGCCGTGAAAGTTTAGGAAACATAACAACAAAAAAACTTGTGGATTTCTCTTGTATGAGCCACTGGCGTGCCCGAGTTGTTATCTATTGGTGGCCCGGTGGCCTGGTGGCTAAAGCTCCCGCTTCACACACGGAGGGCCTGGGTTCGATTCCCGGCGGGTGGAAATATTTCGACACGTTTCCTTACACCTGTTGTCCTGTTCACCTAGCAGCAAATAGGTACCTGGGTGTTAGTCGACTGGTGTGGGTCGCATCCTGGGGGACAAGATTGAGGACCCCAATGGAAATAAGTTAGACAGTCCTCGATGACGCACTGACTTGGGTTATCCTGGGTGGCTAACCCTCCGGGGTTAAAAATCCGAACGAAATCTTATCTTATCTTATCTCACGATATTTGTGTCAACAATATCAGTTACATGTTAGGAAGCAGTTCGCAGGAAATCCCAACAGTATAAATTGTGTCATGCTCGTGTCAGAAGCCAGACACAGGTATGGTAGGATTGTGGACAGTGGAGTCCGAGT